GTCCACTCCAACGCTGGCATCTCCACATCAGTCTCTTAAATGGCAGAGCAAGCCATTCAGTTAAAAGGCAATCAGGCAATCGACCTATTAATTCAGAGACTCTGTTCATATTCTAGGGACCTGGGTTCAAATTCTGCCATGGCAGATGGTGGAAGTTAAAAAAATCTGGAATTAAGAGTCTAACATTGACCATGAAATCATTGCTGATTATTGGGAAAACCCCATCTGGTTCAATAATGTTCTGTAGCGAAGGAAATCTGCTGTTCTTACCTGGTCTGGCCTAAGTGTGACCTGCAATGTGGTTTACTCGTAACTGCCCTCTGGGCAATTAGGGATTGGCACTAAATGCTGCCCTAATCAGCAACGCTCATGTCTCATGGATGACTAAAAAAAATCCAACCCTTTTAGATCCAAAATGGATTACCTCACAGTTGCCTCTATTGAAATCATTTGCTGTGTGAAGTACATGAAAAAATTAACAATCTCCAAGTTGTCTAAGCATGATCAGGGAACACTGAAGTTATAAATATTACATTGTAAGGTTGGATCAGATTGATTCCTTGCCTGCATACCAGTAAGAGCAAACATTTTTTGTAAAGGGTAAGAATACATTATTTTGTTCTCAGACAATTTACACTTTTGTGTTCAGAAAATGTACAACAAAAACAACTGGAAAATATAATGCCATGCCTTGTGATATACAAAAGAATGACCGTAATCATCTTACAGTTAAGTTCTAGATTGAACAGTTCTTATACATATTAGGTAACAATAATAAAATCTGTTATGTTGCAATGGGAGCAAAAAGTAATCTTGACGTAAAACAATTATAAACAGAATTATTTTCTGATCTTGAGCAAAATGTCTTTTCAGCTTGATTTAATAGTTTTAAAACAGTGATGATGCAAATTCTTCTGGTTTGGAAGGACGTGTTAACAATAATTTCCTGCCCTCGTCAAAATAAATTATAGTGTCATAGAGTCACACAGCATGGAACCAGTCCCACCTGCCTGTGCTTGACCCATATCTCTCCAAACCTATACTATTCATGGACTTATTCAAATGTCTTTTAAATGTTGCAACGGTACCTGCATTCACCACTGCTTCTGGCAATTCATTCCACACAAAAACCACACTCTGTGTAAAAGCGTTGCCTCTCATGTCCTTTTTAAAACTTTCTCCTCTCAACTTAAAAATATGCCCCCTAGTTTTGAACTTCCCCACCCTAGGAAAAAGACTCGTATCATTCACTTTATCTACGCCCCTCATGATTTTACAAGCACCAATAAGGTCACCTGTCAACCTCCTTCACTCCTGTGAAAAAATCTCAGCCTTTCCCATCTATTTTTATATCTCAAACCCTCCATTCCCAGCAACATCCTGGGAAATCTTTTCTGAGCCCTTTCCAGTTTAACAATATCCTTCATGTAACAGGATGACCAGAACTGCACACAGTACTCCAGAACAGGCCTCACCAATGTCCTGTAAACCTCAACATGACATCCCAACTCCTTTACTGAAAGAAAAATCGAAAGAATTGGGGATACTGTAAATCAGGAACAAAAACAGAAGTTGCTGGGAAACTTCAGCAGTTCTGGCAGCATCTGTGAAGAAAAAAACACAGTTAATGTTTCGGAGCTGGTGACCCTTCCTCAGAACTGATGGTAGCTGGGAAAATGTTGGCTTATATGCAGAAAATAGGGAGGGGGATGGGGTAGGAAGTAAATGATAGGATAGAGCCTGAAGAGAAAGAAGAGCAATTGGATAGACAAAGGAGTTGATAACGATCTGGCTGGGAGGGTGAATAGCTATTAATGGGGACTGTTAGTGACTAACAATAGGTAGTGTGTAATGGCAGGCTGTGTGATTACAAGGCCTGGTATGTGGGATGGGGAGCTAAGACATGGGAGAGTTTAGGCCTTAAAATTATTGAACTCAACTCTGACTCTGGAGGCCTGCAGGGTCCCCAAATGGAAAATGAGGTGTTATTCTTCCAGCTTGCGTTGAGCTTCGCTGAAACACTGCAGCAAGCCAGAGACAGAGATGTTGGCCAGGGAACAGGGTGGTGTGTTAAAGTGGCAGGCAACAGGTAGTTCAGGATCTTTTTTGCGAGCAGAACGTAGATGTTCTGCGCTTTGTTTCCCCAATGTAGAGGAGACCACATTGTGTGCAGCGAATGCAGGAGACTAAACCTTTAAGCCCACTAAAATATTCTTGGGAAATAAGTGATGCCAAAACCAATGTCATTTAGAGCTTTGACCCAATGCACCCAATTTTTAAAAAATTTTAAAAATTTGTTCATGGGATGTGGGTATCATTGACATGGCCAGTGTTTATTGCCCAGAGGGCAGTTAAGAGTCAACCACATTGGTCTGGGTCTGGAGTCATACGTAGCCAGATCAGGTAAGAATAGCAGTTTTCCCTCCCTAAAGGACATTAATGAACCAGATGGACTTTCACATCAATCAACATGGTTGCCATTAGATGAACTTCTTACTCCAGATTTCCACTGAATTCAAGTTTCTATGATCTAATTGGAACCTGTGTTCTCAGAACAATGGTCTGGGGTTCTGGATTACTAACCTTGAGACATTACCGTTATGCCATCACCAATTCTAGATTTCCTTCTGGTTTGGACTTCAGTCCTTTCAACAATGATAGCATTCAAATACACAGAAGCATGTAATATAGCATTAACAAACCTGCAGGTACTGTATAATTCATAAAGTAGAATATATATTATAATTCACTGCAAATTGAAATTTGGAAATACTATGAATGTCTGAGTGCAGGCTAAAGGCAACAGTTCAGAGTAAGGATTCTATTGACCTTTTGATAATACTGGAGACTATCTGCTAAAATCAATTATCATGAGTTGAATTTTTCCAGAAATCAACTAAGTGGCAATTTTGCTGAGGTTCATGGAGCATTACTTGCTGTGATCCTGAATGCGTTTCCACACACTATTCTCTGCAAGTTGCCTCATTATCTATGCACCATGTCTCTGTGGCACCTTGGTCGTGCTGTCTTTCCGCTTGCCAAAGGCAGAGGTACTCACCAGTGCTGGGACGTCCCTGGACTCCTGGTGCCAGCTCTATTTTTAAAGCCAAGCCTTACACCCAATCAAGTAATGCCAACCAGGAGTTGCCCTTCACTGTGCATAATGGAAAGGGAACCAAAAAAAATGCTTCTCAGAACACACAAGTGGTACAGCTTCATTGCATGTACAAGTGTACATTAATATATTGCTGTTTGAAAACAAAGTTACTCAGCTTAACTGTCCTTAGCGTCATTGTATCTTAGACCCCTGTCAAAGTGAGTGCTATTGTTTCCCCAGTGCCTCATGGAACCATCACAAAATGGAAAGCCTTCAAACAATTGGAAATATTTACTTTTATTCAGCAACACCAAACATGAAGAAAGAAACAATCAAAAACTTCTGGGAACAAATAGGCTCTGCTTGACTTTTGAGCTGCAACAGATATACAGTCAGAGTGATCACTGCACCCAGTTCACGTCTATTGGATGTATTCATATACTAGTGTTTTCACATGTCATGTCTGGCTTCGTGAGCCTAATTCTGCAGGTGTTGTTCCTCCTGCCCAATGCCCTTACCTTCCTCATCGGAAGACTGCTGCCACTTTCTTAATTTTTTTAGAGTCACATCGCATCCTCTAGGAGACGGTAAGGACTGCACATGCTGGAAGCCAGAGTCAATAAACGCAGAGCTGGACAAACACAGCAGGTCAGACAGCATTAGAGGAGCAGGAAAGTCAACATTTCAGGCCGAGTCCTGACAAAGGGTTTTGGCCCAAAACATTGACTTTCCTGCTCCTTTGATGCTGTCTGACCTGCTGTGTTTGTCCAGCTCCATGCTTATTGACTCCATAATATCCTGTTTTATTCTGCTGCAGTTGTGCAGTGTTCACCCCCTTGATGGTTAAAACATTATTTAGCGACCACTAAGTGCTCAAATTTTCCAAAGTATACTGACGTAAGTTGATGTACTCTGAATGCTGCAACAAGTTATTTATTATTCATGTAGAATGCAACAGTAGAGTGGATCCATTGGATCTCCTAGCCATTAAAATCTAGAAACTTGTTGGCATCACACTTACTTGACAGGTATTAAATAAGTGTTTGATTTGCCAGCAGCGTGTGTGTACACGTCAGCTGAAGTGCCCCACACATGACATAGGTCAAAGCTCCATTATAGACCTCCAGGACCCATCTGGGACTGACAGATACTTTGAATGAGAGAACAGAAAGCCTAACAATTTTTTATTTTTTCTACTTCTTTTCTGCTTTTTATTCTTTTGGATTCAAGGCCAGCCTAGAATCCATACATCTTTTTCCCAACTCACCTATAGTTAATTTTTTAGAATGAGACAGAAACTAAAGACACCTTTTTCAATAGAAGGAAAACATCCGTGTGTCCAATTGAATATTTGCGTGCAAAGCCTGTTAAGGGCAATGCTAACATCAAAAAGTGAGGGGAGCATTAGGGAGAGAGGGAGGGGACTAAATCAAAATGGAATTGGAAGGGGAAATAAAGCACTGTGTCCCCTGGAGGGCTCTCCTCTCTCTAACAAATTTTTTATGCTTTCTTCCTGAAATTGGACCTGCTGTTCATATGTAAGGACGCCAGACGCACTAGCCACCAGCATAAAATAGCTATGGAGATGGTGATGATGTAATTCAGGCAGGACGTTGGTGGGTAAGGCATTTAGCTGATTTTAACCGACAATCACCCAGATTTTGCTGGCTGGCTTATATTAAAATTGCCCCAATTGCAAAACATAACTTCCTGTGTTTATCTTGTATCTGTAAAATGCCTGGGAAGATGGTATAATGACTTACATAATGTATAAGGTCTCAATTCACCTTGAAGGTGCTGTAGTTCTGATATTTTCAAGCTAAGTTCAGTATGGTTTCCACTCAATAAATGATCCCATTGTAACTGTACAATTATACATTAACTGCATCTTTTCCATCCATAGTTATACTCGATGCTCCTGATACCGTGTTAATTGAGAGGAATCTTGAGAAAAGGATTGACATGACTACAGGAGGTATGATACTTTATTTATAAACTAACTCTTTATCAGAATTACACCTTATATTAGTTTATAACTAGCTCCATTTCTCGTCTTACACTCTACACATTTTTAACTTAAGTATCTTAATGATTAAAACAGTAATTTTCCAAAACAGGAAGCAAGTCATTTAATTATGCTTCTTCTTTGATGTGGTTCTTGCATATTGTGGTTAATAGGATATCCAGAGGTATCCTTGTAGAAATATTTTGAGGAATGTTTAAACTGCATGCATCTTCTAGGGAGAACAAAAACTATGCTATTTTGAATGCATAACAATACACTCATCTCATTTGTTTGTCCTTTGGGAAGGAGGAGACTTAAAAATACTAAAACTGTGGTATGCAACAGAAAAAAGTTAAAATAAAGGGCTTACATTTATATAGCATCATCCACATCCTTTATAGCATCAATCATATCCTTTAGAAGTGGTGTAATCTGGGCAGCCAATTGTCACACAGCAAGATACCAAAGCTGCAATGTGATAAAGGGATCAGATAAATTTTGAATTCCCCTTTAAATCCTTCGGCCCAATTTCAGTTCTGCCCATAGTATTAGTCAATTCAGGAAAGTCATTCTTTGTGATAGAACTGTTATGCTTTCTTGGATTCAACAGCAATCACTCCTCGAACTTTATTCACTGCCTCACCTTCATGGTGTAGCAATGAAACTCCACTGCTGTTCGGTTGCAATCCAATCAGTTCTGAAATAGATGACACTTCACTTGCAACAAGTGGTCTTTCCTCTCCTGCAGTTTTATCCTGAGGTTACCGTGAGGTTCTAACCATTGTTTTCTCCTGTCCTTATTCACACTGTGTCCTACAACTCCATAGATAGCTATAGATTTATCATTTTTTAATGAGCATGTCAGTCATTCTTTACCAATATATTTATTACAAATATAATACATTTATTTTGGTCCTCAATTTTTAAATTCATTTCTGTGCGTTTTCCATATTGAAAGTATAGAAGTTAATTTCTCTTGTATAATAAATCCATAATAAAATTAAAATAAAGTGTTTTCCAATAATTTTTTTGAAACTTGTATTATAAATGCACAGTTCTGGATATCGCAAACATTTTTAATTACAATCTCCTTAGGTAACGAGATAAAATATTGTTCTGCAATGATCTTCTAGTACTTTTGTCAACCTTACCAATTATTCATTCGTTTTAAATCATCCTGCATAATTACCATTATCAACTGGCCTAAATATACTTTCCCTATCAGTGACTAAGATGTTCAAATTTTAGCTAGATAATTGTCAGTGTTGTTGATTACTGAATAAAAATAGATACTGATGCATCTTGATTAGTCCGTAAGTAATTGCAACTATTGAAGTGGGTTTTTATTCTTTATGTTGTCTAGATTACTGTTCCTTCAAAGAGAGTAGTTTATATTTCATATTGTGCTTCACCATTCCATTCTTTAAATTTAACCTTTATCTGTATACTTTAGAAATATATCATACAACCTTCAACTGGCCAACCTCCAGCAAAATACGAAAGCGCCTAGTGAAACCTGGTGGAACCTCAGAGGAAGAAACTGCAAAGAGATTATTAGAATACCGCAGAGTGATTCATGGGGTACTGAATAGCTACAGTAAAAAATACCATATTATTAATGCGGATCAGCCCAGTGTTGATGTCTTTTCGCAGAGTAAGTAATATTCCATCAACAACCTTTCGCAGGAAAATCTAGTAAAAGTAACATTTGTATAGCTGTGAACTTGTGTTTTGAAGCTGAAATCATGAGTGGAACAGTTGACTATCGTTTTATTGATTTGAAATCCAATTCAAACTAAGGAGAAAGAACTCACCAATATATGTTTTATGAAAAGTTCTCAAATGAAAATAATATTGGGATTGCATTATATTCCATATGAATTTCCTAATAAACATAAGTTTATGACCAACTATTCACCTCCAGCAATCATACAGATGTCCAAATGATTTGTTTTATGTATCTACCATTTACTGCAATGGTGCATGAGGGGGACCATTGACAACCACATTTTCCAACATAAAATAAACTATAGCAAGTTATGAATGTTTTCAGAAAGGAAAGGGACACTTACTCCCTTTTGGTTTATTCCGCAACAGTACAACCAATCAAAACTCGTATGTAGTTGAGTGGGCAGAAAGTGAGAAAGAGAAGGAGAGTCAATTCAGTCTGGCACTGCACTTCAGTATTGCAATCTACTGTTCTGTCACTCCAGTTATTGTGTTGGATAAAGTACATAAATAGCGTAATAGTGGTGAAAGTTCCAAAGGTGAAAATTAAATGTGTGATTGTATATATTAATATCTGCAGCTTCTCCATTTTGATTACTTTTATTTACCTATTCAGTTATTAAAAAGGAAATCAATAAACGAGCTATCAGCTATCAGGGCTGAGCTTTGCAGTCCTACCAGATCCAGCTGTGAATGGTGGTGGACAATCAAACGACTAATGGTAGTGATAGCTCCACAAATATTTCCATCTTCAATGATGGGGGAGACCAGCACTTAAGTGCAAAAGATAAGGCTGAAGTTTTCGCATCCATCTTTGGCCAGAAATGCCATGGGATGATCCATCTCCTACTTCTTCTGAGATCTCCAGCATCACAGATGCCAGTCTTCAACCAATTCGATTCACTCCATATGATATCAAGGAAGAATTGAAGAAACTTAATTCGGCGAAGGCTATGAGCCTTGACAATATTCAAACATAATACTGTACTGTTATGCCCCAGAACTAGTTATGTTCCTAGCCAATCTGTACAAGTACAGTTACAACACAAGCATTCACTGGACAATGTGGATAATTGATCAGGCATGTCCTGTGCGCAGAAAGCAGCTCTATTACTGCCCTATCATTCTACTGTCAATCATCAGCAAAGTAATGGAAGGGGTATCGAGAGGCTGTGAAGCAGTACTTGCAAAGTAATAACCTGCTCACGACTGCTCAGTTTGAGTTCTGCCATGGCTGCTTGGCTCTTGACCTCATTGTAACTTCAGTCCAAACATGGACAAAAGATCTGAACTCCAGAGGTGAGATGATTGATTTCACTTAATATCAATACAGCACTCAACCAAGTATGCGTCAAGGAGACCTGGCAAAACTGGAGTGAATGAAAATCAGGGAAACTCTCAGCTGATCAGATTCATACTTAGCACAAAAGCAGATGGTTGTAATTTTTGAAAGGCCAGTCATCTCAGCCCTAGAGTGTCAATGAAGAGATTTCTTGGACTAGTGTCCCTCCATCATAAGGTGAGAAGTGGAGATGTGTGCTGATGGTTGCAAGATGTTCAGCAGCATTTGTGTTTCCGCAGATACTGAAGCAGCCAATGTCTGTATGCAGCATTTGTGCTACACTAAGTCCAGTGCAATGACCAGAGAAATTACCCTTTGGCATTCAGAATCCCCAACTTTCAACAGCCTGGGAGTTATCATTGACCAGAAATTGAGCTGGACTAGCCATATAGTTACTGTGGCTATAAGATCGAGTTAGAGATTAGGAATTCTGGAATGTCTGTTCACCAACTACAAGGCACAAGTCAGGATTATGATGGAATATTCACAATTTTCATGGATGTGTGCAGTTCCAACAACACTGAGAGGTTTGACACCCTCCTGGACAAAGTAACCTGTTGATTGGCACCCCATCCACAACTTTGAACATCCACTCTCTTTACCGCTGATGCAGTGGCAGCAGTGTGTACTATCTGCAAGATGCATTGCAGTAGCTCACCAAAGCTCCTCCGATAGCACCTTCCAAACCCGTGGTCTTTGTCACATGGGACAGGAGCAACAAATGCACAGGAACACCACTACATTCAAACTGTCATCCAAGCCACACACCATCCTGACTTGGAACTATGTCACCATTCCTTAACTGTCACTGGAACAAAATCCTGGATCTTTCTGCCTAAGATTGCATTGGGCAACCCTATACCCTAAGAGTGCTCATGTTCAAGAAGGCAACTCACCATCATCTTCTCCAGAGAAATTAGGGATGTCTAATAAAGGCTGGCTTGACCAATAGCACCCACATTCTCTTGAATTAATCAAGAAGAGAACTGCCAGCACTGAAGCAGTATGTAAATGCAACTGATTGTGAACCTTGTTTCTTTATGGGTGTCTTACCACTTCCTTATTGTTCACAGACATCACATTACTGCAGTGCCAAGCTTTATATTCACAAGTCAAAACAATTCTGCTGAATAAAGTCATGAAAATTTTATGTTGCATTTCATTAATTTCAGACTTGTTTTTCAGCACAAATGATTATCGTAATTTGCAGCCGTTAGTGGAAGAAGAGAAATGTGTACATACTGATTCATTTTTTCAGGATAGTTTCACATGTTCCATTACCAAGCCAGAATACATGAAGTTTGCCTTATATTCTGATTTGTTGAATTCACTGTTCCCTTGGGTTTGCAAGAAAGCTGTGTTTGTCTCGTGCAAAAGAAACCAGAAAACGGACAATATATAGTGAAGCTATTTGATTTTTAATAAAAATTAATGTAAATTTCAATATTTAAAATCTGTGCAGCAATATAGTTTGATTTAAGTGTATATTATTTTTCTGTTAAAAAACTAAGGGCACAATTGTCTGTTGATATATATATGTAATTGTTTGTATTTTGTACAATTAAATTAGCTGAAAATTTTATAAAACATTAAAATTCCTCTTGAATTTGATTTATTAAAAGCTTGGAACAGGCTATTCATGCATTGCAATTTTTATACATTTTTCAACTGTGAAAGAAAATCAGCAGGGAATAATTACATCTAATTACTCCGCAGTTAATTAATACAAATGGGGCGGGGGAATCCCCTGCAAATGGGGCTTAACAATATTCATACTGTATGCATTTGCTTTCCTCTAAGTATTATTAGTGCTCAGGATCTCTGCTAAGTTTTTTAAAAAAACGTTTCCACTCTACACAGCTTTAAGCCATGTCCAAAGTCGACATCGATCCAACGCCCCCTACACGCCAAGAATTATTCTTCACGGTCCCCCTGGCAGTGGCAGGAGCCTGCAGGCAGCACTGATTGCCGAAAAATATGGGATTGTTAACGGTGAGCACTAACTCAGTGGACTTTTTGTCTTTATTGAACTTCTGTCTTTGTCTTGTATATTCTGCAGTACAACAGCAGTACATTTGAAACTTTACAGTCTGGCAGTAAATATGTGGTAAATCCATGGCCTATTGTGGCTTGTTTCTATTATAGTTTTGCCTCTGGAGGTACCCAAACATACAACATATAAACGTGGCTGCAAGGTCAGTACTTCCATGTTTGATACTTTGGTGACTTGTCATAAATATACCTTTTATATTTCTACTGAAATGGAAATCGAATTTTTGAGCAGAATCAGACTCTCATAGGTTTATGTGATGCCGCAACCAAAATGGCACACCTTATCTGTTTTTGGCTGCCCTGCTTCGAATTGTCAGAATTTGTTCTTTTTACTGTCAAATGATTATCTTTGTCTACCTCACTGTGTCAATCTATATATTCTTATGGTTTCATTGTTTTTCTTTTCCTAAGTGCCTTCCTCCACTAGGAGGGCAGATGGTCTATTGCTCAGAAAATCTGAGTGCTGTCAAAGCCACCTTTGGTCGAATTATCAGGTGATTTGCCCAGGGGTAACAGGATCTCTGAGGCAGAGCACTTTTCACTTTTATGCATCTTGTAGTGCAACTGTTTTTCAGCAGACTACCAGACTGATTCTCCAGATAGATGCACAGTGTTGGAGATAATTGTCAATGAGTTCCAATGTGTAAGAAACTTTATTTTTCTTCATTGCTCAGGTATGAAAAGATTGGTAACAGCCTGTATTTGCAAGTAGCCACAGTTGTCATCAAACATTCTTGGGGACAATAACTTTGAAACACCCATAGCAAAATTGATTATAGTGCAGCTACTTAATATAACATGCTTAGTAGAACAAGAATCCTTTTTGTTGGTTTAGATGGATGTTAACAATCCCATGGCACTATTTTAAAACAGAAAGACAATTATGGTGAGGTTGTCAACAAACTTTTGATTTTTGCAATGTGAACAGTGGAGTAGCATGAACCGTGCAGTAAAATGGAACATGTTTGCAGCTCACTTTCAATCTCTTTGTTGCCACAAGTTCCTGAGGTTTTCTTTTTCGTAACAGAAGTGACATGTGTATTTAAGACAACAAGGTGCAGGGCTGGATGAACACAGCAGGCCAAGCAGCATCATAGGAGCAGAGAGGCTGACGTTTCGGGCCTAGACCCTTCATCAGAAAAGGGGGAGGGGAAGGGGGTTTTGAAATAAATAGGGAGAGAGTGGGAGGCGGAAAGAAGAGGGATAGAGGAGAGGATAGGTGGAGAAGAAACAAACAGGTCGAAGAGGCGGGGATGGGGCCAGGAAAGGTGAGTGTAGGTAGGGAGTTAGGAAGGGGATAGGTCAGTCCAGGGAGGACGGACAGGTCAAGGGGGCGGGATGAGGTTGGTCGGTAGGAGATGGAGGTGCGGCTTGAGGTGGGAGGAGGGGATAGGTGGGAGGAAGAACAGGTTAGGGAGGCAGGGACGAGCTGGACTGGTTTTGGGATGCGGTAGGGGGAGGGGAGATTTTGAAACTTGTGAAATCCACATTGATACCATTGGGCTACAGGGTTCCCAAGCGGAATATGAGTTGCTGTTCCTGCAACCTTCGGGTGGCATCGTTGTGGCACTGCAGGAGGCCCAGGATGGACATGTCGTCTGAGGAATGGGAGGGGGAGTTGAAATGGTTCGCGACTGGGAGGTGCAGTTGTTTGTTGCGAACCGAGCGTAGGTGTTCTGCAAAGCGGTCCCCGAGTCTCCGCTTGGTTTCCCCGATGTAGAGGAAGCCACACCGGGTACAGCGGATGCAGTATACCACATTGGCAGATGTGCAGGTGAACATCTGCTTGATGTGGAAAGTCTTCTTGGGGCCTGGGATGGGGGTGAGGGAGGAGGTATGGGGGCAGGTGTAGCACTTCCTGCGGTTGCAGGGAAAAGTGCCGGGTGTGGTGGAGCTGGAGGGGAGTGTGGAGCGGACGAGGGAGTCACGGAGAGAGTTGTCCCTCCGGAAAGCAGATAAAGGTGGGGAGGGAAAGATGTCTTTGGTGGTGGGGTCGAATTGCAGATGGCGGAAGAGTCGGAGGATGATGCGTTGGATCCGGAGGTTGGTGGGGTGGTACGTGAGGACGAGGGGGATTCTTTTTTGGTTTTTATTGCGTGGACGGGGTGTGAGGGATGAGGTGCGGGAGATGTGGGAGACACGGTTGAGGGCGTTCTCGACCACCGAGGAGGGGAAGTTACGGTCCTTGAAAAACGAGGACAACTGAGATGTACGGGAGTGGAATGCCTCATCCTGGGAGCAGATGCGGCGGAGGCGAAGGAATTGGGAATAGGGGATAGCATTTTTGCAGGAAGGTGGGTGGGAGGAGGAGTATTCTAGGTAGCTGTGGGAGTCAGTGGGCTTGAAATGAATATCGGTTTCTAGGTGGTTGCCCGATATGGAGACAGAGAGGTCCAGGAAGGGGAGAGAGGTGTTAGAGATGGTCCAGGTAAACTTAAGGTTGGGGCGGAAGGTGTTCGTGAAGTGGATGAACTGTTCGAGCTCCTCGTGGGAGCACGAGGCGACGCCGATACAGTCATCAATGTAACGGAGGAAGAGGTGGGGTTTAGGGCCGGTGTAGGTACGGAAGAGGGATTGTTCCACGTAACCTACAAAGAGGCAGGCGTAGCTTGGGCCCATGCGGGTACCCATGGCTACCCCCTTTGTCTGTAGGAAGTGGGAGGAATTGAAAGAGAAGTTGTTGAATGTGAGGACGAGTTCGGCTAAGCGGATGAGGGTATCAGTGGAGGGGGACTGGTCGGGCCTGCGGGACAGGAAGAAGCGGAGGGCCTTAAGGCCATCTGCATGGGGAATGCAGGTGTAGAGGGACTGGACGTCCATGGTAAAGATGAGGTGTTGGGGACCAGGGAATTGGAAGTTCTGGAGGAGGTGGAGGGCGTGGGTGGTGTCACGGACATAGGTAGGGAGTTCCTGGACCAAGGGGGAGAAAATGGAGTCTAGATAGTTGGAGATCAGTTCGGTGGGGCAGGATCTAGATAGTTGGAGATCAGTTCGGTGGGGCAGGATCTAGATAGTTGGAGATCAGTGTCTCTATTGCTTTACAATGAATATATATCTGCAAAGAAGACAGAGAATAACATTACACTTCACATCATACAAAATGTTTAAATCCATTGAAAAGAATCACAGAATCATACAGTGCTGAAAAGGCCCTTCGGCCCATCTAGTCTGCACCGACATGTGAGAAATACCTGGTCTTCCGCATAATCCCATTTATCACACTTGGCCCATTGCTTTAATGTTACAACACGCCAAGTGTTCATCCAGGTACTTTTTAAAGTATATGAGGCAACTCACCTTTACCATTCTCCCAGGCAGCACATTCCAGACTGTCACCACTCTCAGGGTAAAAAAAGATTTTCCTCGCATCCCCCCTAAACTTCCTACCCTTCACCTTGAATCCGTGTCCCTAGCAATGTGGTTGCCCCTTTTTCAATCTTAAGCTCTACTCACAAAGCTTCATTCCATGCCCCCTCCAAGGTATCATCTCTCCTTACTCCTAACGGACTCCTTAACTAATAATGTAATGCCTCCTTCTCTTTTACCCCCTCCTCTGTGTCGCCTGAAGATTCTATATCCTGGAAGTTGAGTTGCCAATCTTGCCACTCCCTTAACCATGTCTCTGTGATGGCTCCTATTGACACTTCCATGTGTCAATCATCGCCCTTAACTCATCCGTTTTACACGTGATAGTCCTGGAATTAAAGACCATCTAGCCTTGCCTTACTCCCTTGAAAGTTAATACGGCTGCACTCCTTCTGACTTAATTGTTTTACTGTATGAGTCTGAGCCCATATTCTGCTAACAGTCTTTGTCCCCTGACCCTGCTGAATTAGTTTAAAGTCTTCCCAACAGCACGAGCAAACTGTCCTGCAAGAATGTTAGTCCTGGTCTGGTTCAGATGTAGACCATCCCGCTTGTACAGGTCTGACCTTCTCCAGAAATGGTCTCAGTGATCCAGGAATCTAAATCCTCCTTCCTGCACCAACTCTTGAGCCATGCATTCATCTGCCGTATTTTCCAATTTCTGTACTCGTTAGCATGTGGTACTGGGCATAATCCAGAGATTACAACCCAAGAGGTCCTGCTTTTTAGTCTACAACCTAGATCCCTGAATTCTTAATGCAAGACCTCATCCCTCTTTCCACCAATATCATTAGTACCAACATGTACCATGACCTCTGCCTTATCATGCTTCCCCTTCAGGACAGCCTGCAGCTGTTCAGTGAAAGCTCGACCCTAGCATCAGGGAGGCAACGCGCCATCCTGAACTCACGTTGACAGCCACAGTAGCACCTGTCTGATCCTCTGACTATCAAATCCCCTATTAATATTGTCCTTCCTCTCTTCCTCCCCTCCTACACAGGCAGGCTGCTTGTGGTGCCAGAAGCTTGGCTCTGTCTGCACTTGCCAGAAGAACCAGTCCCCTCATCAGCCTCCAAGATGGAATACCAACTTGTAAGCAGGATCCCAGGGGACTCCTGAACTACCTGCCTGTTTCTTTTGAACTGCCTGGTGGTCACCCACTCCCTTCCTTCTTCAGGTCCTTTCATATGCATTATGACCACCACTCTAAACATGCCATCCACTGCATTAGTGTCTGGTTTATTAGCTCAATGACATTACCACTATATCACTATCTCTCCCCAATATAGATTTTAAAGAAATTACCAATCCTAAAATTTGGATGTTGGTCCATCTTTAACAGGACCACTAAATATTAGTCTTTGGTGGGCATTAGAAGCCCAAAGGATAATGAAGGTCTTCCATTAAAGAAGACTCTCTAAAGGACCACAGGATTGTTCAATAGATTAGGTTAGTTTGACTCTTTTTTGTGTATGAGTTTCATTAACCAGATTATTGTTTGTCAATGATATCTTGTAGACATCATAGGTACCAATGGCCCACCTATCCTGTTAATTACTGATATCAAAGATTGATTGATCAAATTCTAAAATATGATTAGTATGAAATCTCTTTGCAAGCCTCAAAAGTAGTCACACTCAAAATACTACTCCACTGATTACCCAATATTGCATATAGTCAAGAGAAGCAATACATTGTCCAGTATACATCAGACAGGATTTATTTAATTATAGTCCACAACAAGCACATTACTGCTTTTCAAATCATGCTCACAATCATACATTTTCTGATTTATTTGATTGGTCTGAAATATTATCAAAGGACTTGTTTAATTAACTACCCTCAACATAACTGTATCTTTTTACTCTCCATCAAAAAAAGTGCAATAAAGCAAGTCTTAAGTCTCATCCTTAGGACTGATGTATGCTTATTGTTTAAAATATGCATGCTGCCAGTTTAATTAAATTGACAAAGAGTAGTCTGGTTTGGAATACATCAGGGCTATTGTCCTAGATTAATACAACTGACAGGCACCAAGATTTAGCTGAGTGCTTTCAAATATATCAGCTTATAATAATTACTTTGGAACTATTTTCTGTGCAATTATATTGTTTTAATCTTTCCATTCTCCTGAGTTTTGTTTCTAAAGAAAACTCATGAGAAGCTGCACATGGTGGAAGCTTTTAAATAAGCAATATGTGCCAAACCAGAAACAGTTTATTAGATGAAACAATACTGAGGATTAGTGCCTCAATTTTAAAATTATTGGAAATCATTTTATATTCTATAAAATTATAGAAGTGAAGGCAGACAATTATAAAAGACTATTTTCACTCTGCACAGAAATGTGTGACAATATCACACACAACAGCTAAGAGAGC